CAGTGGTTTTGACAAAGGCAACATTTTTAAATGAATTCTGGTCAGAAGGGGCATGCTGAGGTTGGGGACACCATTCAAGACAAATGGGTGAAAACATAGCAAATGTTTCAGAGGAAAAGGCACTCAATAATTGAAATAAAATTTCGTCAAGTGCTGTAATACGTTGGTACTCAGGCCCCTCTCAATAAAAATCTGTCTCCAAACCAGCTTCTTCAAAAAGACTGCTGCTGTGTACTTTTGCAATGAATGAACACTCCTCAATATGTTGCTCAATTTAAAGTGAGAGAGTTTAGGTTTGGGAAAATGAGCAAACTGAGCTCCAAATGTGAGGCATAAAAAACATTTGGTTATTGTAGCATACTTTTGTAGTGCCTTAGCACTAAATTATTACACTAATACGCTTATAATAAATAAATATCTACTTTGTATCAATACATTGCATCTGCTATCCTATATTTCCTATATGAAATAAAATAATAGTATAGTATAGCTTAGAGCTATACCTGGACTTGTCTGACTAGAAGAAAAGACCAGCCTTATGCTCGTTAAGAACATAGTCCATTTATTCAGTGGTGCTAAGCATTTATTCTGTAGCATTGCTTTGTGCTCACATTTTCACAGTTTGTGAATAGCCTTATTGAGTTCTAATGTTTTCAGCAGTTAGAGATATACAGGTAGTCATGATCCTAGAAATTAAAGCCATGATGGTGGATTTTACAAAAGGCTTTTTGAAACTACACAATCATTAACTTGCATAGTGCGTATTGTAGAAGCACATCCTGTATCCTGCATAAGTGGGAAGCAAATCACTTAAGACTTGGCTATAGAAGAAGACCGTCTGATGCTGATTAGAGGGAGAGCAAACAAGAAACACCAAGTAGTAATATGCTTTCTCACTGGCTTGCTGATGGTAAAGTTTTATTCCAACAGCAACTTCCCATTCCACTGCTCTTCCAACATTGCCAAGTTCACTCCAAACTGCAACACCATCAAACAGCCAAGTAATCAAGACAACAATATGTTGTAGAACATCTAGCAAAAGCTACTTGGGTATCTCAAGAGCCTTATCATGGATGCTTCAGCCCAGAGACTGCAAAAGAGAAATGCAAAGCTAAGATATCAGCAGGCACATGAAAAGCAGGCCTGGGAGCAGTGTTGCTCCAGCACTTTCTGACAGATGGAGAGCACTAGCATATACCTCCAGGGGTCTGACCTCATCAGAATTTAACTTTACCCAGACAGAAAAAGAGCTACTGCTGCTGTGAAATGCTTGTGCATAGTTCCATATATACACTATAGAGTCTTTTAACATTGTGTGGTACAAACACAGAAGTAAACAAAGCTTACAACTGCACAGAAAGGATTGTAAAACAGTGCAGCACATGAAAAAGTCAAACCCATATTACCCAAATATTACATAAGGGAGGAAACTCAAGCATAATTGTCATAAAATTATACTAAAAAATATTAAATAAACAGAAATCCAATTATTTCAGCTATGGAGACTGTGAAATGCAAGAAAAGCTCCGATAAGTCTGATCCATAATTGAGGATTAAAGAGAAAAACAATCTAACCAACTATCCTAAAAAAATCCAACAGGATGGATGTAATTTGACATGTTTTCAAAGATTTCTTCTGGGAGCATTTAACCTTTATTTAATTTGTATCTGCATCAGTAAGTTCCTGATTCACCCTCAGTCATAATGTTAACACAGTCACCTTAGAGGGCTGCCAAGTAAAACAGGCTTTCTATCGTTGGCCTGTGAACAGCTATAATGAAAGTAAGTGGGGGGTCAAGTGGCTCACTCAGGGGCACCTCAGAGGCAGTAACTGGGGTGGGACCTCAATCTTAGTCCAGGCCTACATCTCCACAACTGACCCAGATATTAGAACCAATGAACTTTCAGTCACAAGCTTGACTCTTTAGCCCTTAGGATCTCACAGGTGGCACTGTTTGATATATTGTTGTTATCCATTATTACCATTTATTATTTCCTGGCACTGTCACCTCTTTCTCTAAAAACAGAAGAGAAGCCAGTTTTAAACTTCATTAACAGTGGATCTATACTGCTCTGTTTAGAGCTGAAACTACTGGTCGAATCATCGATTAGGTAATTTTTCAGCAAAAATGCCAAACATTTTCTGACTCTAGCTTCTCCACTGCTGTTCTCTGTTTGATATAATGTAAAGTAAATATCTTTGGGCTTTGGGTTGTTCCTTGGACAATACAAGACATTTGAAGATGTCACCTAGCACTTTGGGGACTTGTGACAGGCATTTTTCCTCTATTTCCTGACATTTTAAGGACCAAACAATTAATCAATTAAGGATATAATTGGCAGACTAATGAAGCATACGTAAAGTCTAAAACAAGCTTGTACTGCACTACAGCTGGTTATCAACATGGCGGAGGGAGCTTTGTGGACTTGGTCCTAGTCCAGATCCTAGTTTGAGTGATGTGAAACACGAATCACCACACAGCTTCTGTTATTAAGGCTGTCATTACATTTGGGACACAGTGAAACCAACTGCTATATTTAAAGCTCTCAAACAACTGTAAGAAGTAATGTAATACAGTATTGGCATCTCCCTTCACTTCCCTGTGAGATGATACTGCATTAATGAGATCTGTCACAATCTCACAAAAACACTCCTGTGTGTGCGAATTTGCACTCACACACAAACGCAAGTATCATTTGTTTTTCTCTTGCTCTTACTTGAGCTCAGTGCATGTTTGTTATTCATTGAACCACATTGTGACAGGAGTGTTTTGTAAAAAGTGCTTTCTAAATCACTGTGATTTGATTTTAATGCAATTTGATACTGCAATATATTTTGATTTATTAGTCAGTTTTTCATTCAGTTGACTGCAGTAAAGGGCTGAAACAATGTTGTGTAGGGTAATAAAATGTAAAAATTATTTCTACTAATGCACATAAAACTATAAATCCTGCTTACAATCAACCTTTTTAAGGCAATAGCATAATTTACACTTTCATTTAAAGTCAATAAATATTTATAAATAGAACATCATATTCTGGATGTTTTGAATAAAAGCCCTGAAATATTGACAAGAATATCTTAGTGCTAGTCGTACATATACTGACAGGGAATTGGGCTTACTTTCATATTATGTAATATTAGATTCATATAAAAAGAGTAGCAGACCTATGTGAGCCAAGTTCAGCTGAACCCTCATTGCTTTTATGTCCGGCTCTCATAAGCGGTCTATCTGATTTAAATTGTGAAGATTAAGATGAACAAACTGACGGTCAGTGGGGAGGCAAAGAATGAACATAAAGCTGATTAAAATTCAAGGTATATTTGTAGCCTATTTATTTTACGTACATTGACTCACTTTAAACTTTCACACAGTGATTTCTGTGTTGTCATATAACTAGACACTCCAACTGTGAATAGCAGGGTTTCATTCAACTGACACAGAAAACATCAATGGAAAGAACAACAGAAAGAAGGTCAAACAGAACAAGGAGAAAAAGTCCATGGCTGTTGAATAGAGTAATGTAAAACATGACAGTAAGACACTCTTCAGCAAAAGTGCTGATCTGAATAACAAAGGGATACAGTGAGGACTGGTGCTACTGTTCATATCCTTGAGATGGGTCACACCAGCAAACAAAAGATCGGTATCACACTGCATATATTAGAAAGTGTAAGTCAGGCTGTGTTATCCCAGGAACCCCCCCTCCCAAAAAAAAAACTCTGCTGAAACAACAACAGAAAAATGTTTGCTGAAGTATCTGATGATTAACAGTTGTGGACATGCAATGTTTCCTGTGAAGATAACAAAACCTAAAAAAAAAAAACCACCTAGATCTGGGAAATAGCAATTTGTATCATCAATAGACTCTTCATTAATACAATACGAAAATTGGTCAATTGTTTCAGCTAAATGCATTAAATGCAAACCAGGCTCATCATCCATTGATAATACAGCGTGAGTGAACTGCAATTGCCTCTTCCAACCTTTGCAGTATGCAACATGTAATTTGTTACATCTAAAGAAACAATCCACAGGCAGTCCACAACTCAGCAACACTACGGACAAAACATTAACATTCAAATTATTACCTGAAACAAAACATTTCATAATGACACAATTTTCAGCTATATTGCCCAGCCTAGCAAACACCTGAACAGATGAGTGGAGAAACACAAATGCAAGTGCTTGAATGGCTTGATTAGAAGGAAGGAGTAAGGAAAGAGTAGGAGAATTATGGATATCATATGTTATGGCCTTCGCAGTCACCAAATGAACACCTGTGGGAGATTTTGTACGTATACGTTAGACGGCTCTCACCATCATCGAAACACCAAATGAGGGAGGAATGGATCCAAAAAATTGCAGAATCTATGCCAAGGAGCACTGAAGCTGAAGCTAACTAAAACACGTTTCCTTAAATATGTCACACATCTGTAAGTCACCATTATAGAAAAATGTAGCAGTTACAGTATATATAAAATGCTTGCTCGTGTAAGTCATAATTCAGAACTATATTGTTGGAAGGCAGCCTGTGCCCGGTTTGCATTCCAAGGAAAATGGATAGCCAGTGCACAATAAATTACTCCCACTCTGAATAAACTGCTGTAACATGGATCAAATTGCTTTTTCACTCCAAAGTGTACAAAGGAACAACAGCCACTACACCCATAACAGCACATCCCTCATCTGGTGTAAGGCTTTGCTGGAAAACCCTTGTGAAAACAAATCCAGAGCAGTACACACAACAACAACAGCCTCTCGGTGACACAGATAGTAATCTCTGGCTGCAGCACTACATCTAAAGCTACATCTGTTCAACTCCAGCTCACACAACAGCCAAAACGCTGGGCTGGCCCCGTCAGGGAGGCACACAATAATAAACACATTTTTATACGGTGTTAAGAGATTTTCAACTGGATTTTCATACAAAAGCTCAACACACACACACAAGGCTGGAGAGAGTTGAAGGGGCTACCCCTCGGGTTCAGTACTCACCTCCAGAGCCTCCAGGGTCACGAACCCCGTGATGGAGAAGCCATCGATGATGTCCTCTTCAGCAGAACTAGACTCCTTTCGCTTTCTTCGTGGGGGACGAGGGCGGGATGAGGAGGGATCCCTGCCGCCCTCCCTCTCTGAGTCGGAGGAGAAGCGAAAGACGGAGCCCTTAACATGGTTGTTCCTTATCCCATTTGATCTCCTCTCCCGATCCCTCACTGACCTCGACTTCCTCTTCTTGCGGAGGCCACTAGATCGAGGGCCATCCATGTCCTTCATGGGAAACATCCAGATAAACCCTCCTCTTACAGAGAATCAAACTCTTCAAGGGCCAAACACTGGCACTGCTCGACCTCCACTTGTGTGAAAACCCGAGGAGAATCTCCACAATATCCAAGCGAATGTTATCAGTGTATTAGATCCAAGGTAACCATGTAATATCCAACAGATGAAGCCTTTTACAGGAACTCAAAACTGCATCGAGTCACTGAACCAAGCAAGGTTCCAAGCGAAGATCCCCAAAGGCAGTCCATCAAATCCTACGACAGAGGTGTAAAATGATCTATTAAACACGTTATCACCAAGCTGTCAATTCCGCCAGAGGAAGAGCTTTTCAAGTTAAAGCAAATATCTGCTCAGTGAACATGTCCCGCCATGGTGAGTTGAGCAGGTGATGCCACATCTTTCTTCTCCAGGAACCTACTCCTCTTACCCAAGGTCAGCAAACTCTGCCTCCTGCAAGATAAAGACAGAGAGAGAGAAAGAGAGGGAGAGAGAGAGCACACATTTGCAACATGTTCACTCAGCAAGTTCAGCTGTGCATTTAGTCAATGAGCCATTTTCCAAAAGGTGCTGTATACTATACAGGAGGTTACTGCCATTATACATAATGCAAGATGAATGTTTTATTAGGGTGGTTACAGTCTCATCTCCTAAGCATACTGTGTTTTCTTACACTGCCAGGTCATTAAGCCCAGAGATGAGATGATTATGTGTTGTAAGTGCTCTTTTACTAGTGTCTCTGATGCTTTTGCCAAGCTTGTAACCTAAACTGTCTTTTTAATGATTAAATTTCTCAATCATCTACGAAGATTTTCACTTTGACTACTCTGTGTCTCTCAACATGAACTCATTGCTTTTGGCACAGTACCTGCTAATTTTAAGTGACATACAGATATTGTGTATATCTGTACAAACGTCAGTACACTGTGGGGCTACACTGACTGCTCTTGAGCCTGAAATAAAGTGTTAATTAACTCAAATGTTGTATTAAGAGCTATCAACTGCTAGTACAATCTATCCTTTCACTTTGTACTTGTCTGCTAATTGCATTAATCTACACAACAAACGCCTACAACGGCACAGTACATTTCAGTAGCATTCATATCCATTTTCCATAATGACATTAGAAATGGTGAACAATCTTAACTTCTGAGCTACAGTAGGTCATCTATCAAAATAAAAAAAAGTCTTGAATAAAGCAATTCTGACATTCATCAAAAATCAGTCTAAATTAACATGTTCAACATGACAACCTGCCTCAATTCACCATTCATTACTTTCCAAACATCACCTTGGATGTAAAATATTCTACACATCAAAAACAGCACTATTTCTCTTTCTTTCATAAATGAAAACAGGTCTAATTGAACACGGAGATGTCCTTGAGGTCTTACACACGCTGTTAAAAGAATTATCAAGACCCTTTGAAAAGCCATGCTGTACTAAACTGTAGAGCTTAGCAGGGCATACCTTCACTGTCTGACACTGAAGGCATCTGGCTGCTTTATGATATTAGGATGCAACATTCAACAGCTTGCATCATTCTCAAGGCATAGCCTACAGTCTAGGCCTAAAGCCACTGAAAGTCACTCTGGCATTGTAGTCTAACACACATATGGCTTCTCTATGTGTCCAGAATATCAATTCTCATCCATTACATCATAGAAATGGTATTCTATGTGGAAGAAAACTGATCCAACAAACTGCAGGCTCTCACAGAGCCTTCCTCTAATCATGCCTCCAAATGCTGGTGGACATTTCAAACACAGAGGAATCACACCTTCCCTGCATCAGCACACAAACCAGAACCTGTCTGTCACAGCCCACCACCATCTTCAACTTTACATTGTCTCCTTGGACACAGGTTGTCATGTATTGTAGCTCATCCGGATTCTGCAGCATACATGCCAATGCTCTGCTACACATTGCAAACTCACAAATGTTTTAAGCAAGCACAAATAGAAGCATTTGCAACAAAAAAAAGATGGATACATAACAAAGGCACATCCAATAAGCGAGCATGCCAACATTTAACTATGCAGCAACCTTTCAGAAATACTCCTTCCATGCAGATGTTCTACCTTCTAACAACCCATAAAGGGAAAATCAGCCTTTACTATAATAACCTTTTTTTCCCAGTACCTATGCCTTTAACCTGATGCCCCGTGCCAGCACTTATCTAATGACACACACTGCACACATAGCTCCAAAATATCGCTTATTGAGGGGGAAAAACTGTATTCTAGCACTCGCCCTGGCTTTTCCAGCTCAGTAAAAGACTCTTTCCCTTGTCTTCGCTCACAGTCCCTTTTTGTCTGCCTGTGCTGTCAGTAGAGATCTCAGGCTCTGTAATCCAGTCCAGCCCACAACAGCAGCAGCGGACTGGCACTGCCTCCTGCTCCGGCTCTCCAAGCTTCATTTTCCACTGTAAGACACACAACAAAAGCAAGCCTCTCTCTCTCTCTCTCTCTCTCTCTCCCTCTTTTTTTTTTTTTTTTTTTTTGCTCCAAGACACGTCATGCAAAACGAAGAAATGCAAACCCTTGCGAGTGGGGAGGGACCGTCCGGACAAGTTGCAGGCCTTCGGTCACTATAAAAAGATAAAGCACAAGAAGGTTTTGGAGCTGACAAAATAAATCCCGCAAAGGAAAACCACAGGGTATCTCCTCCTCCTCTCTCCCCAGATCCGAGCTTCAGGATCCCGGAGAAGGGGGACCGGGGCGCAGTGATACGGCGATGCCGCAGTGCCGCTTTACAGGCTGCGCGCTTCCTCCTCAGCGCAAATAGTGCTGTCTCTGGACAGTTTGGTGGGCTCCGAGTTACAGTACAGAGACGGTACAACCGGGAACACAGCGGAAACCGAGCCAGATATAGCCAGTTCACACACCGGTTTGCCTCGGGAATCATTTCAAACGCCTTTTTTCCGTTTGACAAACATTTTATGGCGGAAAAAAATCATTGTGAACACAAGTTGGTGTATAAGTACGAAGTGATAAGTTTGTGTATGTAATGGTAAGGATAGCTGCGGATAAAAATACATAGTTCGCGGTAGTGGTTGGTTATTAGTTAGTGAGCCTGAGCTGTGTCGGGTAAGCTGTTCAGACACTGATAAAAAAAAAAGATGCATTTATTAAAATAATTAATGAAACAAATAAAAAAAAAAACATGCAGACAGCTAGAAAGCCGTGGAACGAGCCAAACTGCGCCACACTGGTGAATCGTTATTTATTTCGCGCAAGGCAACAAGTGAGCATAAAGCATCTTCATATAACGACTCACTGTTTCAGTTCACCGTGATATGATCACAATAATCATTTATTAACGTATACACTGGACAGAAACGCTCTCCCTCTGTAGGCTACATGCGCCAGCTCAGGTGTCACATTATCGCTGCGCTCAAGACAGCTATAAGCTTTTGCCTCAGGGACACCCGGGGCCACCCCCTCACCCCCATTCAGCAAACACTGACAGAAAAATCTGACCTTAGAGTACTGCAGCTATGAATAATAATAAAAAAAAAATAAGTGTAGTAGTATATCCATTCAACATTTGAAGAAAATATTTACCTTGAACAGCCGGTCCTCTGTGTCAAACCCCCGCAATCAGACTGTCTAATTAATCAGTGTAATTACTTCCACCTGTGGCCCATGGGGTTGCACTGTAACTATATAGTAGCCTTCATAAAAACAGCCTGAATGGGATTCTTGCTAGATACAGTGATTGATTTGACAGTGCTTCCCATTTGAGCCATAAAGTAAGTATGCAGCTGATTCATGCCTGCTGCATGATATATTGTATTGGTATTGTGTTGCCCTTCACAGAGTAACATGATTATGTAAGGGTGCAGTTACTCAAAATCCATAGAATGCATCATTTACCAGGAATGAATGCATGCACTCGCTTTAGGGAGGTCACTTCAGGCAGGTTGTTCAATGTCGTTCTTTAAAAGCACTGACGACGCTCAAAGGCCAGCACTCAGCAAACCACTAGGACTGGAGTGTCAGTCACCTGTCTATATACAGTGGATAACATTTATATTTAGTGATTCATACACCTGAGTAACACACTTGCATATATACTGTAATTAGATTAACCAGTTAATAGATAAAAAAGAAAACTGACAACAGATGAATCAGGTTTTGGGCAGGGGGTCCGACAAAAAAAGGGGGAAAAAAGCAATTTGAAGGTGTCACTTTGGGCTCTTGGAAACCGTGAGGGGCATTTTTCACTATTTTCTGACATTTAATGGAATGAGCAATTCAATGAAAAATAATTGTGATATTAATTGATAATAAAAATAATCTGTTGCAGCTATAAATGTGTTGTTTCACAGTATATGGGCTTTCTCATCTGTACTGAGCGGATGCCTTGTAGCAGATGTCACTCCAGCATTACACCAACACATATTGATTTCTAAGTCCATTAATGCCCATGGGATGAGCATTAATAACAGTGTGAACACAACAGTGTGAATTTGTACGGTAGTGGTGGCATCAATAATGATCACATGAATTTGTGGGCGAAAGACAAGGCCACTTAATAACAGCTTGTTTGAGCATACCCTTACTGTATTGCCATAGCCTCATAACACTGATCAGATTTAAAGAGGGAGTGAAAAATGATGGTGTCACACCTCTCACGAACAGGAGTCAGCGGTTGTTTCAGCGTGGCAATGAACTGGTCCTCCACGAACAGGGGACCATGGGTGGGCTGTGTATTTTTAGCCCGGTTTAATGATGCAGAGGCTGAGTGGTGTGGCTCAGAGCTTGCTAAAGTGCCTCAATTCCCAGTGCCCAGTGGAACAAGGGCCCCACCAGCCTGTAAGAATAATGCCAGGGGATACACATGCACTTGACCCTGTCTCATCTTCCAGGAGGAGTGTCCTTGTGACAAAGTGGTATGGCAGGGGAGAGACGACAACGAGGCAGCTAATTCTGCTCTCCCAGCCTCCACTCATTAGGTGGGGAAGACAAATGTGCTGCCCTACTCTCGCCTCTGTCTCACCATAATCAGCTTTAATTACACCTTCGCCCAAACTTTCCTCCACAGCTCCATTCACTGTCACACAACACTCTGGTTCTGGGGATTTGAGAAACTGAAAATAGGTCTGGTGTTTGGGCAACAAGAGAAATATATGATTTCGAAGCATTAAGCACTTTGAATAACAATGAGCTATCAGGTCATGAACGGTACCACTGACCACGGCTTCCAGCCTCTACAACTCTGAACACAACAAAGGGTCAAAGCTTATCCCTTCCAAATGTAGCTTTTCCAACCAGCTATAATAATCAATCCCTTGACCCCCATCTGTGACTGGGTTAAAGGTCAATCACTGGGCTTTCAACAAAGACAAACAAAAACTGGAAAACTAGAGGGAAAGGAACTAAAGAACAAGAAAGCACATTTGCTGAAAGGAAAAAAACGTAGAAAATACACATACCCAAAATGTTCAGATAAACCAAAAATTTCAATCAGGCTTTTATAAAGATTGTTGGATTCTTTTTATGGTGTAGGTATTATCCTCATACCCTGCAAGCCTGAAAAAGAAGTATAAAATAGTAGGATACAGCCCTTGGGATGGAGGTTAATCACAGGCCAACCATTCTGCAACTAGTGTTACTTTGGAAAGAAACAAAATGCCCGTCTCCTGTTACGGTTCTTATTTATCTTTAATTGCCAAGTCAGAACGCAAACGCTTCACTCCCTGTTTTCCTCTTGGTGTTTTACTCAGACAGCAGATGGTGGCAATTAGAGAATCAGATTCACAAAATAGGAACGTACACATCCCCCATATTATACCGCACCTGCCAGTTACTATCTTTTACCTTAATCTTATTTGTGTTCATCTTCATCATTATTATCTTTACTTGTCAGGAAGGAGACTCAAGTGGGATGTAATGACACTTGCGTAATGCAAGTTGAATTGCTGGGTACTTATAGCTACAAAGAGATTCTCAATACAAGAATGAGCTCATTTTCCTCCCCCTACAGGTCTGCCTACAAGCCCTATAATAGCCCTTATTACTTGCACTGTGAGTGCAGAACAATAGTCCTAACTTAGATATTCCCTCTGTAGCGGTGCAGAGTTAGATAGAGTGCTATCTATTCGCCTCACTTCGTTCTTTCCTGTTATATTCCCTTGGCAAATATGATTTGTTGATGCTATTCATCAAAAGTATAGTGGGGACTTCAGTGGCTCGAACACACATGTGGGAGGTTTAATATTCATCAAGTGGCAAATGCCCTTAAAGTGCATGTTAACACATGACAAGCGCATGGCCTATTCAAATTGTGGCACATGACCCCCTGTTCAAGAGCTGACCTAAATTATGAATAGTGTCAATGTGTCCCCACTGTCACATTAAAGAAAGAAGCAGCATACACAGTACTACAGAATAGTGTGAGAATACACTTCACTGGGAAGATGAAAGCACAATTGTGAATTGGAATGATTGATTATATAAGATCAATATGACTGAGGCTTGTACCTGTAATAATGACAGCATGGACTGAAAAGCCTCTCTGGGCTTAATATATGGGGCCTGTCAAAATCCTCTTAGCTCATGGTTCTTCAGCTGGCTCACACAATCAATCACTGTTGACTATTTGAGTATAGGATAAGACCCACATTTACTATCAGAGCAACGAGGAACAGACATTCATTCCAAAAAAATGAACTGATTATGTATGCTAATTAAATCAAGGTTCAAACTGCAATGTGATTGCACAACAGTTGCTATGGGGATGCTAATATGATAACATCTACATAAAGTTTGACTTAACTTTACCTGCATGTATGTAGAGCTAAAAGAAAAAAACCAAGGCAACAGTGGGTGGATGTTTCATAAGATTGTTTTCAGGACACAGAAGACATTTTTGACAAATCACAGCAGAAAACGCCAGTGGTAGAAAGTAGCCACTCAAGTGCTGTGCTTCAGTACAATTATGAGGTGTTTGTACTTGAAAATTTCCATTTTAGCCAGCTTTCTTTTTTTTCTCTACTCCACTACATTTCAGGGGGTTCATATTTAGATTTTACATAAGAAAAGCAGTTTTTATTTGGCTGATAGTTTAAGATGAGTTGTCAGCAACATTTCCCTTTTAAACTTGGGTGGTTTTGTTTAAGTAACTGTTCAAGGGGCACAGAGGTTAAAATTATCCAATATTTCGTAAAAAGGCAAAAATTAGAGAAAAATTTATCAAATTTATAAAGAGAATTTTATTTTTCTTCTTTCCATTAATCATCCCACAGCTACCTAGATATTAATATATACAAACTAGCTCCACCTTAACCTGCTACAACAGTAAAATGCCCCAGTATAACCAATCTAATAATGTCATATATAGTAATACATCTGTCACAGGGTTCTTTAGTACTTTACTTTTGACACTTAGTGATAGTAAGTCCATTTCACTGATAATAACTCTAAACCTTTACTTAAGTAGAATTCAGCATAACAAATTGTACTTCTAATAGAGTATTTATACATTGTTACACAGGTACTTAAACCAGTGGGAAAAGCACAGGTGTAAATAAAAAAATCAATGATGGCTGAATTCCATTTAGCTGCTTCAGTGTCAGAGTTGTGCATTGCTGGCTCACTCGCACGACTTACTGCGACACAGAATCGAGCCACGGTGAATGTTATTAGTAACAACATGATGAGTCTGAATATCTGCTGTGAAAGGCCTATTGAGGAAGTGAACAAACAAATATCTATT